CTCATGGAGGCCTGAGGTTTCCTTTTTGCTTAAAAGTCAGCTTTTCAAAAAGCCGTGAAATCCACAGCTTCGTGCTGCTATTTGCGATAGCCCAAAGCGGCACAATAAAAAATTAGCTTGAGGCAGCGCAGGTGTAAGATGTCATTACATGCTACTTTGACCCAGCAGGGCTCTCTGTCTGGGCAATCCCAAGGAAGCTCTAGAAGAAAAGGAACTAAAAATTCCCTTGCTCAAGTGCTTCCCTCACCCTAGATGAAACAGCAGCCCAAAGCTGGTGGAGGAGCCTGGAGTAACAGGCAAGCTCACCTTGCTTCCAGATCTGGTTCCCACGCTTTTACAAGCCCGTTAAAATACTATGTCGGTGCTGAACGACACCCAGCTCAAACAGGAAGCATCTGCACCATGGCCAGGAGCAGCAGCTACTTAAATCCTACATTTTGCCCCCAGCTGTGACTACAGAGGGGGCTGGGGAGTGGGATTTGCTGCTCCCTCAGCTGCCACGCAGTGCCCAGGTGCTGTAAGAGCCCCCAGTCCATCCAAACCCAGGGCTGGTGCTGTCAGGGTGCCCCGTGTGGCAGAAATGTCCCTCCTGCCCAGCCACGGGGTCCCTTCCTGCCTCCCTCCCTGTGCAGACCTCAGGACAAGTTGCTGCATTTACGAGGGCTCCTCGTCACCTACTTGCACCCCAAAACGGGTGTCAGCTGCTGTGGCAGGGGACAGACAGGGTGGTACATCCAAGTGCCTGCCCTCTGGCTGGAGTCATTGGCAGCATCAGACCTGACCTGCAACCTCCAGCAGCTCATTTCGCCCTCCTTGTGCCTCAAATCACTACAACAGAATAATACTCTCTTTCTGCAGCCCCACACGGGCTGTACATCTGATCACACCCCAGTTTGCCAGGTCGGAAGCTCTGGCTGAGGACTTTGATGCACGTCAATACAGAGAGCAGAGCTGGTGATTTCTGCCAAACCAGTGGGCACACGTGGTAGTCAGCAACATCACTAGTAACAAGATTTCCTTTAATATCAGCAAGTCCCGGACTCCTTCTGCTGGTATTTCACTGGCTCATTAAGCTCCTCACAGCTTTGAGGGCTGCTGGAGGGTGCTCACCACGGTGCTGGGACAGGGACTGAGTCCAGGAGGGAGAGAATGTTCCTGCACAAGCCTGGGAGCAGCACTGGCATGGAGGAACCTTTCTAGCAGAAGTTTTCCTGGTGTCACCTCCTGATGCCCGGCAAGCTGTCACAGCTATAGGTGGCCTTTCTGT